AGAAAGCAGGGATCAAAGTGCTTTGATCCCTCCCCCCTCGTTACTAACATGTATAAAACGATCCTCAATTTTTCCTCTAATTATTTTAGGAAAAAGTGTTGTTTTATACATAGAAAAATACTGTAATACCAAAATAGGAAAGAAATGTTATAAATTACAGTATAAAAATACAATAGTAGGCAGCAAAAAAGAGAAAAGTTCAAAGTTCAAGAATGCTGGTGATCATAAACAAAATTAACATAGGGTAAGGTTATGAAAGCCTGCATAAACAGCCACGTTGTATGTTGTTTCCTAAAGCCATGAAAGGAAGGAGCCAGTCACATCTCTAACAGGAGAGAGTTCCATAATGATGCAGCTACCACAGAGAAGGCCCAGTTTTGAGTAGTTGATTTCTGGACCTCCCTCAGGGTGGCCACCCGTAACATTCTAGTATATGAGGGTGGGATGGGTAGATGCTTTTAAGGGAGAGGCACTCAGAAAAGTAGCAAGGTCCTAAGCCATTAAGAGCTTGAAATGTCAGCATATTTGAACTTCGCCAATGCAAATGCACTAGGACAGGTGATAGCCGTTAAGGGCTTGAAATGTCAGCATCTTTGAACCTGGCCAATGCAAATGCACTAGGACAGGTGATATATGATCATATTGAGATGTTCCAGACCAGCCTGGCTAAACCCAAACTGTACCATTACTCCATGAGCAGGCCAAGAGCAGGCCAAGGTGGTAATCTTACTAACCATGATGGAATTTTTAGATAAAATGACAACTCCTCCTCTCCCCGACTCTTAAGTCTGCCCTGACAGATGGACTAACAGATGGAACAATCGGGGGGGGGGGGGGAACAAAATTTGAAAGAGGGCTACCCCTCCCACTCAGGTCTCTGTTGTGTAGGCCAAATGAAGCAAATGTAACCATTTGAGGATTATACCCTGAAATTAATGATAAGATAAATACTATTTTATGAAACAACAAATAAACTTTCAAGTTCTCCGGAACTTTTCATCAGGCTAAATGCCAAACAATGTAAAAAAAGGGGGTGGACCTGATGCCAGAGCCTTGAAGGTTGCATTTAGTCCCAGCTTTACACAACAGTGTGGCAAGAGGTCCACACATCTCAGTTAGGCTCCATCTGGTCCAGTGATGCTTTCCAGTTACACCCTGGATTGCCCACAGGATTGTTCACCTTTACTGAAGAAGCTACTAATGATCAATTCATATGCATATGGCTTCCCCACAGGATTGCTCACCTCTACTGAATAAGTATCAAGGGTGGTACACCCATATGCATATATACACCCACAACTTCCTTTGCACCTGCAAAGGAAGCCAAGGTTCCTGTATCTGCATCACTTGAGCAGGGCTGTCAGTGAAGGTGTTCACAGAATCACACACGCACATAGTGACATGCATACCTACATACGTTTTCTAGAACGGACCAGCAATTCTGGAAAAACGGAAACCTGCAACTGTACTCTGACCTTTAGCTGGCCTCAAATCCCCAACGACTGCAAACAGAGCCGGTGCCTTTCTCTCCGACCTGTTTCACTGGTTACGATGTCAGTGAGCTCTAGAGTAGACCCTGGAATCCTACCTCCTTCACGGAGCGTCCCAAAAGATATTTAACAGCACTCGTCTCGAAGGAAACAAAAGGGATAAATTAAAGTAATTAATTGCGGAAATGGGCAGGGAGAAAAACGACTCCGAACGTTGGCCGTGAGATACAACGTCCGAAGAGTAAAGCGGCTCTCAGGTGGAAAAGACCCAAGGGGAGACAGAGGCTTCTGTTGGGAAATAGGTTTCCTCCAATAGAGCCGCCAGAAAGAAATACCACGGCGGTCTCCTTCTCGCCTCAGCCTTTTCCCGCGCGTGGGAAAAGCGCCTTGGTGGCTGCTTTTTTGCGCTTTGCGCGAGCGCTCTCCACGCGGGACAAACCCAAGAGCTGCTCCCACAAGGTCCCTGCAAGGTTTCTAGTACTGTATAAACCAACGGAAGAAGTCTTACGTGCAAAACCGCGTCAGCCAGCCCTCGTCGCTACTCTTCACCGAGCCCCGTCGCCTCAGAAATAAAATGGGTGACACAGACCTTGCTCAAACCGGCCGAATTATTTAGCCAGCCGACTAGCCGGTAGACGGGCCCGCCCTCTCTCCTGCGGCGACGGGACTAACACCGCCCCGACCGCCTCCGGCTCCGCGATGGAAGCGCCTGAGCCCCGCAACTGATAAGGAGCACTCTGGGGCCTGTAGTTCTTAGGGACCGCCGGGTAAATCCTCCATGTGGACCTACGAAGGTGCTTCAACCCACTGGCAAATTTCCCGCTAAAGACGGTATCCAGAAACGCCGTGGTCGACTTCGCAGCGCAGAAATAGGATGAGGGGAATTAGGATTACGGGAGGATGGTTTGTGTGCTTTCCTGCGTTGGATTTATCATTGGGGGGAAATGCCAGGGAATTAGATTATTTCCCCATGGCTGCTGGTTGCTTCACGCGGCTGTTTTTTTTTTTTCTGGTGGAACTACAAAACGTTGGCAAATAAATTGAAATACAGATGTTGTAGACCTTGTTTCAACTCCATTCAATCCGAATGGAGACAGCAGCCAAGAAATTGGAAGACTGAGACCAGGAAGGGTAGCAATGAAGAAACTAGAAAAGATGATCAGTCAATCCGAATTGGCAATTTCCAAGAAATTGGAAGACTGAGACCAGGAAGGGTAGCAATGAAGAAACTAGAAAAGATGATCAGGTGTAAGGGTGTATCACTGGAGATCAAGACGTCTTTTATTTCCAGTCACCATGTACAAGTGTGAAAACTGGACAGTAAAGAAAAGTAACAGGGAAAATAATTGATTCCTTTGAAATCTGGTGCTGAAGGAATGCTTTGTGGATACCCTGGACTGTTAGAAAGACTAGCAAGTGGTCCTAGATCAGATCAAGCCTGAAGTACTTCCAGAGGCAAAAACGTTGAAACTGAGGCTGTCATACTTTGGGCACACCAGGAGAAGGCAGGATTCTCTGGAAAAGACAGAAACACAGGAAAGGTGGAAGGAAGCAGGAAAAGAGAAAGACCAAATACATGATGGACTGACTCCATCAAGGAAGCCACAGACTGGAGATTTTGGAGATTGCTCCATCATAGAGCTGCCATAAGTCCAAGGCAACTTGATAGAACATATTATCTATACTTTGTTAACAGCACCCAGAATTGATGCGCAAGGTTCATGTTGCTGGGAGATTCTGGCATTTGCCACCCAAAAAACTTTTTCCCCAAGGTCTATTTATTCTCTTCATTTCAGAATGAAATCAAATTATTCCAGTATTCACTCAATGTGTAATATATCAGCCATGCTGAAAGAATTTGCATAAGTTCTTCATATTAAAGTTCATATTAATTTTTCATGTTTTCAGATGCCTGTCTTTGTATGCTGACTTAATACCTGGCCACTTCAGTTATGGACAGGCTTCTTAGGTGCTATTAAATACTTAACACAAGTGTAATTTGCATCTTTTGCCACAAAAACTGAGCATTCACTAGTTTTTGTGGACTATGCAAAATAATTTATCTGTACTAATACCAGTTGTGACGATTGCCCCACGTCACTCCTGTCACTCATATTCAGGATCTCATTTGCATGAGCCTATGAGAGGAGGGGTGGAGTCAGTGGATATAAGAAGGTTTGGCAGAAGAGATGAAAAATAAAGAATTTGCAGAAAGAGACATATAGTCAGGGAGATAGGACAGATACTAATAGAGATAAGCTGGTCAAGATAAACGGATAGAGCAGGTGGTGATTAGTTATGTGGCAAGATATATGACATGTTAATGATTTGATGGTATGCATTGAATAAAGAATATCTGTGACTCTGATTAAATTTAATACATTTCAATAAATAAGTTCTGTTGGCAGTAACCGGACAAGTGTCTGACTAAAGTTCTTTACATATTGTGGATAAAGGAAATCCACTGGTGGCAGTGAGGAAAAGAGGGAAGTCCCAATTGGTATCTGCTGGTGAGATGACATAGTGTGAGCCCTTTGTTTGGAGAAACAAGCAGGGGTCACGTGGTAACCGTCACAACAATCTATTTGGAATCAGGGTTCTCTCCTTTCCAGTCATGCTTATATTGTTTCCGAGATGGGAGCCATACAATTATCCCACAGGGGAAAAAATGTTTACTGGAGTCTTAAGGAGTGACACATCTATCATGACATAATTTTTCATGAAGCAACCCCATTTGATCAACAACATGCGTCATTCCCTGAATTAGCAATGCATACATGGGTTAGCAATTTCAAATGGGTATAATCAGATTTTTTTTGCAAAACAATGCAGGGATAATTCAAGTACTGTGATTTAATTACCAGCTTCTTGCATTTCTGTACTCCCCACTGTTTACATAACTAACCTTCACATATTTTAATAAATTGGCAGTACTCTATGCATCTGAAGAAGAGGCCCATGGATAATAAAAGCTTATGCCAAATAAAGCTAATAATCTAGCTATTACAAGATGTTGTTGTCGATGCTGTTAACTAACCTTCACATATTTTAATAAATTGGCAGTACTCTATGCATCTGAAGAAGAGGTTCATGGATAATAAAAACTTATGCCAAATAAAGCTAATAATCTAGCTATTACAAGATGTTGTTGTCGATGATGATATTCTGAGAAGCCTTATTGTGTAGCACTGAGAAACTCCAAACTTACTAAGTTGATAAGAATTTTGTATCAAAAAATATCTAACTTTATAAATGTCTTCAAGAGAACCAACTGTAAAAAGACTGATTAAAAAGTTAGGAAATGACTAACTATGTAAAAGCAGTTCATAAATAAAAAACAAGATGTTGTTGTTGCTTAGTCATTAATTTGTGTCCAACTCTTTGTGACCCCATGGACCAGAGCATGCCAGGCCTTCCACTGCCTCCTGGAGTGGGTCAAATTCATGTTGGTTGCTTCGATGACACTATCCATGCCTTTTCTCATCCACTGTCGTCCCCTTCTCTTCTTGCCTTCACACCTTCCCAATATCAGGGTCTTTTCCAGGGAGTCTTCTCTTCACATGAGATGGCCAAAGTATTGGAGCCTCAGCTTCAGGATCTGTCCTTCCAGTGAGCACTCACAGTTGATTTCCTTCAAAATTGATAGGTTTATTCTCTTTGCAGTCCAGTGGACTCTCAAGAGCCTCCCTCAGCACCACAATTCAAAAGCATCAATTCTTCAGCGGTCAGCCTTCTTTATGGTCCAGCTCTCACTTCCATACATCGCTACTGGTAAAACGTGGCTTTGATGATGCGGACCTTTGTCGGCAAGGTGATGTCTCTGCTTTTTAAGATGCGTTCTTGATTTGTCATCGCTGTCCTTCCAAGAAGCAGGTGTCGTAATTTTGTGGCTGCTGTCACCATCTGCAGTGATCATGGAGCCCAAGAAGGGAAAATCTGTCACTGTCTCCATATATTCCGCTTCTGTTTACCATGAGGTGATGGGGACAGTAGCCATGATCTTAGTTTTTTTTTATGTTGAGCTTCACACTATTTTTGGCGCTCTCCTCTTTCACCCTCATTACTAGGTTCTTTAATTCCTCCTCACTTTCTGCCATCAAAGTGGTATCATCTGCGTATCTGAGATTGTTGATATTTCTTCTGACAATCTTAATTCTGGCTTGGGAGTCATCCAGTCCAGCGTTTTGCATGATGTATTCTGCATGTAAGTTAAATAAGCAGGGAGACAATATACAGCCTTGTCGTACTCCATTCCCAATTTTGAACCAATCAGTTGTTCCATATCCAGATCTAACTGTTGCTTCCTGTCCCATGTTTAGATATCTCAGGATATAGATAAGGTGGTCAGGCACTCCCATTTCTTTTAGAACTTGCCATAGTTTGTTGTGGTCCACACAATCAAAGGTTTTGCATAGTCAATGAAGCAAAAGTAGGTATTTTTCTGGAACTCTCTGGCCTTCTCCATAATCCAGTGCATGTTAGCAATTTGGTCTCTAGTTCCTCTGCCTCTTCGAAAACCAGCTTGTCCTTCTGGGAGTTCTCAGTCCACATACTGCTGAAGCCTACCTTGTAGGATTTTGAGCATAACCTTGCTAGTGTGTGAAATGAGTGCAATTGTACGGTAGTTGGAACATTCTTTGGCACTGCTCTTCTTTGGGATTGGGATGTAGACTTATCTTTTGTACAGTGGGGTCTCGACTTACGAACTTAATCCGTATTGGAAGGCAGTTCTCAGGTCGAAAATTTCTTAAGTCGAATCTGCATTTCCCATAGGAATGCATTGAAAACCATTTAATCCGTATCTGCTTTTTTCGTCCATAGAAACTAATGGGAAGCTGCTATTCCGCCTTCTGCCACTAGAGGGGGATATTTTTT